AGGAGCCACTTGGGAAAAAAAAAAAATGTAGCTTCATAAACGTGTATGTATTCTGAGAGGATGACAACGTTAACCAGACCCTAGGCTGCACCTGCTGGTTGGAAGGGGCTCCGTTTCCCAGAGAACAGAGGGGGCACGTGGAAAGGTGTGTGGCAGAGGGCTCCCCAGTGTACGCCCCATCTGGACTCCTGGCCTCCTGTGCCAGTGTCAGTGCAGATTTTGCTCAGTTTACGTCTCTGTTAGACCCCTCAGAGACATGAAGATACTCTCTGCACGGTGGTCTGCCCACCACTCTTCACTGGCCCTCCTTTTAGAGGGTTGTGGCATGTCTGAGATAAAGCAAGTTTGTTGGTTAAGTTCTCCAGGATGGCCTGCACTACCTGTGCGTGCCAGCCATCCTATCAGTCTCCCTCCTTTTTGCTTGGAGGCCCTCTTAGTTGGTTTGCACTGGTTTCTATGACACTGTAAGGTATGAAGTTAAGGAAGCGGTAGAATTCAGCAAATTGGATTCAAGAAGGGTAAAATTCTGCTGTCCCGAGCTCTCTGCTGGCACCACCTGTGACCGCTGAGTGTCTGCAGTGTGATGTGCCTGCCCTACCCCAGGCAGCAGCGTGATTCCCCGCATCAGGTCTGGAGAGGTCCAGGGCAGGGATGGTCTTTCAGCACTAGACCAGCTGAGAAGGTCTGTGGGAAGTAAAGGGCATGAGAAGTACTGTGGGAAGTAACTGGCAGGGTAATCCAGGCCAATTTAATGCTGGATAAAGTATTTTTGTTTACCTGTTGGAACCATTTCCGTTTAATTTAAAGGCTAAAAGTGCCATTTAATGGATTATTTTTTTCAGATTTTTTGAAGTGTGTCATTAGCTTGCTTTGCTTGCATAGAAAACAAGTGTGTTTGTTTGCATGGCGCATTATATTTTGCTAGGGAAATGCAGAAGGAGAATAAATAACCCAACTCAGGTCAATACTTGCTCTTGTCCCTTCATGATTAGATTCATTCCTTAAGAAGCCAAAAACTTAAAAGATTAGACTGTGACAATGTAAACTAATATGGTGACTCTCTGTTATAAAATCATTGGTTGCAAATAAAAATCTGCTGGAGAGCTGGTTTTGTGACAGCAAAAACTTCACAAATAGCATTTGCATGACACTTTTGTTAAAGGAGCTCACAACACAGTACAATTAAGGTCAGCACTCAAACTTAATGTTGAGATCCTAGGCTCAATGACTGTCTTATCTCTGCTGTCTGTACTGCACTTGAACTTCACTGGGTCTCCTGAGTGTTACTGCAATCGAAATAATAAGCTTTGTGTTTTTTTCCTTTTGTCTTCCTCCTGTTTGGAGCTTCCAGAATGATGCATTCTACAATAGTGGGAACAGCACATACAAGGAAAGGAAACTGGGCCACTAGTGAGTTGTCATGAACAAAGAGATGACAAGGCAGATCATTATAAAAGCATGAAAGATCTTGTTCTTGTGCAGAATCTTCTTCTACCTTGGCTAGATGGAGAGGAATGGTGTCTCTAGTTTCTCTTTTGCACATCCAATAAATATATACTTCTTCATACTTGTAGACATTAACTCTGGAAAGCTGTGACATAGTGCTCAGGTTCTTTTGTCAGTGATGTGAGCAGCAGTGATTTTTGCAGCCTTTTTTTAGTGTCATGCTGCCAGTGGTCTGGCATCACACAATTAACAGTGCTAATTCATAAATGTGAAGTTCAGTATTAGCATTAAAACAGCATGACGTAAAACTCAAATCTTCCTCTTTCTTGTGGCAGGGAAGCGGTACCTGCTAACAGAAGATGACATAAAGTTACAAGAATTTCAGCAGATGAAAGTGGCAATTAGAAATGAAGTTCATGGCAATAAAGGTATTAGTACTTATTTCATAATCACCATTCTCAATTTTAGCCTGAGTCCCAAGAAACCAGACAGTCAAAGTCGTTATGACACCAATTGATCCCATTTAAAGCAACAACTTGTGTCTTCCTCTTGCAAATTTTTTGTAGCCAAAATTATTGGAAGAGCTGAGGGTTTGTAGAATGAAACAGTATTAGTTATGCTAAAACGGTACACCGACGACAGTACCGCACCAGCTGAGATTCCCTGATCCCCATTCACAAACTGATCCGACAATTAGAAAACCAGGACAGCTGTGCTGGAAAATACAGAGAAGCTTTCAAGTATGCAAGGTGTTCACATAAGAGCTGAAATGCTTGTGGCCTTGCTCTTCCAACTTCTTATGATAGTTTAACAGCAAATAGTGTTTCAGTCTACAACCCTTGCTTCAAATACATCATCAGCAGAGAGAGTTAATACAAAGCCTAATAGCTATTTGACTATCCAAGAAGGTCTATGCCAGTAATTCACTTTTAATCCACTCTATAAATTTAGTTAGCTTATTCTTTTACAGTTTTTTTCCTTTACCTAATGTAAGTTCTCAGTTGTACAACCAATTCCGGATGACATATGCACACTCAGAATATGAAAAACAAATTCAGGTTTTCCAAACTAATGCAGGAGCAAGATTGGTGAATTTTTTTCTGATGGGGATTTTGTCATGCTGTTTTAAGTGAATACAATGTCTTTTCTTTAAGGAACATAACTATGAACATAAATCTGCCCTTATATTTAAGAAAGGTTAGGTAAAACTCCATTTTCTGCACCTGTTTAATCATGTGCAGGTGCTCTAGTGATACAAATTGACAATTGTTCCAAAGGATGTAGTTAACTTTAATTTTTTTTGTGTGGCAAGGAAGAGACAAAGAATCAAACCTGCTTTGGCAGGGGAACTGGACACAGTAGTCTCCAGAGTTCCCTTCCAACCCCAATGGTTCTGTGATTCTGTGAATTTAGTTTTATGTAAACCAGTCTTCTGGGACAGAGAGGGAGGTAAAGTCAATGTGACAGTTTTTCTTTGTTAAGTAAAAGTAGAATTTGAATTCGGCAGTGGCAAGTCGTAATGTTACTATATTTTGCTGTGATGGTGACGGACTCGTATTGGGGATTATTCATGCTGTACTTGAGGTACATTATATTTATTGCTGTGGGTCAATCACTCTTGCTAAAACAGGTTTGTAGAAGTCAAATATTTGGCTTTACAGGTCACAATTGACCTTTTAGTTTTGTACTAATGGTAGCCTTTGAGAACTGATGAAAACAATGTGCTAAGCATATATTTGTGTGTATGTGTGCATAGTTTCTGTACTTGGTGTTTAGTCTAATACTTGAAAGATTAAAAGTAATTAGGGCTAGTAATAAACAGTTCAGAAATTGAAAAAGCAGTAATAACTTACACAGAATATGTAATAGCTATTATTTATTATAGTTATAATGCAGCTATTAAGTATAGTAGTTACACCATTAAGTACACCAGTTAGTTTCCTACAGTAATACAAATACAGTTCAGATCCCATGTGTTTTTTAAATTTCTGTGTACCTTTGAACACATCCAATCATTATATGTGCATACATATATATATGTATATATATAAAATCTTCTGAGTTCACAGGAGTCAGCTCTGCATCTGTCTTGAGTAAGAACGTGTATTTGCATGTAGCAACAGATATGCATCCAGTAGCTGAATATGTTGTTCTCTGGGGTGCTTACTTTGCATCTCTTGTGTAGGTTACTAGCTTGGAAACAGCAGTGACCCAGCAACTGCTACAAAAAAATTCACTTCCCTGCCTGAGACAGGGGGCAGTGCCCTTAGAGGAATGGGGCTGCCAGGTAGTACATGTGATTTTAATCTTGTGTATGTCTGAATCAGAGGCTTGAAATTAACAACTGAAGAACTGATCTTTGTGCTTGCTTTGTCATAGGAAGACGTGCTGGATAGAGAAACCTCTTTTTTAGGGGGGAAGGGAAGCAACTGTTAAGTTTATGACTATGTATAGAAATACATAGATTATGTATAAGACTTTTTGTGTTTGCATCAATTGTAAAGGAATTGTATATGAACACTGTTGAGTAGAAGTTCTTATGGTCATTTGAATACTGAGTGGATTGGTTTTGTTTGTTTGCTTGCTTTTTTAAAAAAAAAGAGTGTAATGCAGAAAATGTGGCTTACAAAACTTCCTTCCTCTTTAAAATTTTTGTATTACCTGATATATTCCATAACATACCCAATGTAATTAGGTTCACAATAAGCATCTTCTTGATTTTCAAAGTCTCATATGACTTCGTGGGGACACCTAGACATGCTTGTCTGTGAGAAGCTTTATGGATTTTTCTTGGTGGGAAAAAAAAAGCTTTCTGCTTCATTGAATCTCCATGTTTCAGGTAGCAAGTATACAACACAGGTAATGGAATCATCTATAGACTGCTGCTGTAATGTGTTTTATTTTCAGATCCATATTTTAAAAATATTACAGAAAAATTAAAGAAAAATGGAATAATTCTCAAAAATGAATTAAAAAAATTACTGCATTTATGTCAGACGTCATCTGATGTGGACCTAGCCAGAAAAGTTATTTACAGGTATTTTTAACAATCCAGGTAACACTATTTTCTGTCTTTATTTTTTTGCTTTTATTAGATCATCTAAGGTTATGTCTGGAGTTGAGGGCTTGCCCAAATTCAGTGGCTATATGCATAGTTAATCCCTTAAATTAAGGCTGTATTTTCATTTACTTTTGATCTTCCAACCCTTCAGAGACTCTCAGATCAAAGGAGAGTCAAGCTACGAGAGCATAGTGGTGTCCTGCTGTATGCAGAATGAATGGTGAGCCACACAGAAGAGTCATCTGTCATCTGAGAGGTAGTGGTGTGTTCAGTGGCATTTTCCAGCCAAGACACGCCTGGTTATAAACTGCTCTGGACCCAGCAGTGACAGATCAGGAGGCTTTGTGAACGAAAGCCTTCCCAGCAATTACAGCGTAGGACCTATAAAGGAAAAAGTGAAACACTTTATTTTTATATTTTTATTTATTTTTTAGTGTAGGAGAGAAAATGTTGAGGTATTTTAGCAGGTACTGCTGCTAAAATAGACTACTGCAACTTCTTGTGCTATTGCTCTGTGAGTAGAAGGTAGAGTAGCTGAGAATTTTCATGGCAGAGACCTGTTCTATTACTAATCCAATGCAAGTTACTTTACTGGAAATAGAAGAGATTAAATATTACTAGTTAATTCATTAGTTTGGTCAAAACAGTATTTTTTCCATAAAATTAACTTCCTGTTATCTAAATGTCATTGGCTGGTGCAGATAGAGAAATGTGCCTCTGTCATTGCACATACATATTTTGCTGTCTATTTAAAGCTGTGTTCCTTTGACAAATGCCGTACTCTGTGTGATTAACTTTTTTTAATCTTTCTAATAGGTACCATGAACAGAATGGAATCACAGCCTTATGTAATTTTAAATTTGGACCCCTCTTTATGAGGCTATGTTATGAGCTGGACCTTGAAAGACCTGCAGTAGAACTTATCAAAGATCAGGTAGTTCCCTTATATATTTTGAAAATATTGTTATTATTATTAGTCCAATAGGAGTAATTGATATGCTACACGTGAGCCTTGCATGAGTGCATAGACTTGAAGTGTATGTGTTGCAGAGCAAGGATGTCTATGACATTAATGTAAGGATGCAGATTACATTGCTTTACTATTTTAAAAATAAAAACAGTAATTAAAAGAAAATTAAATGCTAGTTTGACTGGTAACTTTATTGTTATACTTCTATATAATTGCATCATTTGATTAAAAGTAAAAAATAATTCCTCAAATGAATACAGCTGATGCATGTTTTCCCGCATCCTGTGTTGTGTTAGATCATTCTTGGAAATGAACATTTCTGAGTTTTTACACAGTAGTCCTCTGAAATGCCTTGGATTGTTTGCACCAACGGATTTGTCATGTCACTCTGTACTTCGAACTCGCTCTGAACCTTATAGAGGTGGTATGATATTCATCAGCTCAGGAACTTGGCCATTTAAGTGCTGAAGAAACTTAAGAGCTTGGTTTTGAACATCTATAAAATGCTATGTGTGCTATTATGACAAGATTTTAATTATGCCCAGTGTATAGTAAATTGAAAAGATTCTGTGCAATAATGTTGTGTCTTCAGAAATCTCTGTTGGCCAGTGGAAAATCATCTCTATGATGTTAATTCATTAAGGCATGAGATATGCCTAGCCAGAATTGGAGAAGTCTTGCTTGGACTATTGTTCTTAAATTAGGCACATGTAAGAGTATGTGTGGATTTTGTTTTGCTTTGTGTTTTGTTTTTTTTTTTAAATTGAGATCTATGTAATGAAGACAGGTCCTGCAGTACTTGCAGGACTTAGTAACTGAGGGATAGTAAGATACAGTACCCCTTCTTCAGACTTCTTTAGACTTAATACCCCTGGCATTTTATTTGGCTGTTCCCAACACAGTGTTATTGAAGTGGAATGTGAAATATACTTGCTCTTTCTTCTGCTACTCTGCTTGTCATCACTCAAGCCCTTGTGCTGATCTGTTCATCATTTGGTATTGTGATCAGCAAAAAATTCTTTCTGTTTCATGGTGATGGTACTTTACCCCAAAGATACTGTTAATCAGCTGCAAACTGTATTTCTGCTGAAATTTTGGAGTTGTCATTGGTGACTTCGGCTTGCATTAACTTAGAGGTCATTAAAGAAAAATGATAGTGGGAATCTCTGGGAAATTTCTCTTTAATTTTAGTGAGCTTTTGACCATACTGAGTCAATGGTATCACAGAGGTTGCTTGACAGAGGGACAGTCAGGGAACCCAGAGAGTTAAATGTTGAACTTGTGAAGACGGGGATTATTCCAGTAGGAAGACCTGCTAAATGCTGTGCACAGTAAGAATGCTCACTGTCCTAACTTTCTTTATGCTTGCTCTGTTTGTATGTTTCTTCTCCAGAATTTGCATGGGTTTTTTTCAGACAGTACATCATTCCATATTTTGATGACTATGTTGTTTAAAAAGGGCCATTTTGAAAGTAAGTACTGTGTTTGCTAAGGCAACTGCATTTTAAGGAGAATGCTTCTCACTGTAAGTGTGTGTATATATAAATATATGTATTTTTAATGAATGTTGCTGATTGGTTTATGGTTTTAGAAGGCCAAACATCATGTAAATCAGTGTAGATGTGAATGAGCTGCACTGTAGTGTGCAACAGAAGTGGAAGACTGTATTTGTTTCATACTTCCAATGATATTCTTACCATTCTGAGTTGCACAGAATTGTGATTATCCGGGGGGGCTTGTTTCCTAAACCTTCTTCTCTGAAGGCTTAACTTCTCTTTGGTTTTTAATTTCACATAGCTTCTTGTTTTCCGTATTCAAAGTTTGTTTTGCTTGGTTTTTGGAACAGTAAGTTCTTAAACTTTTTTTTTTTACCAGTTCTGTATCTGTGTCAGAGGAGGGAGGAGTACCCTTTTCCCCTTGATAACAAAACTAGACCATAGTCTTCTCTTGGTCTGTCTTACTAATGTGCCCACACAGCGGGCCTGCTGTAATATTTAAGTCAAACGGTTTGAATCAGTTTGGCCCTTTGTGAGGGTAAGAGGGAATCATCTGACCTGACTGAAAAGAGTTTCCATGAGAAAATCTTGAAATGACTATGGAGTAAGCTTTTCAAGCAAATCTCTTAATTTGAAATTTGTTGAACACGCAGCATTTGGTCTCTTGATATTTGGCAAATCTAAGTCCAGTGGTTGTCCTAAAAGTTGAGACTGAGCCACTGTAAAAATAACTAGATCAGAGCCTGAACGCAGTGTTTTAGTGTAGTGGAGCATATGCGTTATTGCGGAGCTGTTACATAGTTTGCCTAAAATGGTGGAAGCTTTGATCATGTGTTTAAAACGCTTGCTTTTTGAGCAGTTAAGAAGAATGAGAGTAGCTTTGTTAAGTATAGAGAACTTTGTTTTAGATTTGCATGAAAATAATAGAACAGTAAGGGTAGATGCTAATGTAGATTGAAAACCTCCTTGCTGGGAAGAAATATTTACATCCATCTGACCCTAAATTAAACTTTTTGAAATGTGTTGATTTTTAAAAAAATAAAAGATTTCAGTTTACATTCTTATTTTGAAATGGACTTACTGAGCTCATGCCACGTTGAAATTTTTTTTCAGTTACTAAATGTATAGCCTTAAATTTGTGAAGTGAGTAACACTAACGTATTTTTGATAGGTGCTTTGGAAGTTCTGGTAGAAATGAAAAAGCAAGGTATACCTTTCAACAAAGAAACCTATCTACTTGCATTTGCAATATGCTACAAACTAGTGAGTATTTTCAGTTTACATGATGAAAAAGTATTTGAAATGCCTTCTCTCTATTTGTTTTATTTGGATTTTAAAATTTCCATATGTTCTCAGTCATGATTTCATATCTAGTGCAAATATTTTAGGTGTATTTAAATCCTAAATTGTTTCATTGTGTGTGATATGGTGCACATACATAGCTTCCCATACAAACGAATGTCACAAAGCAAATCTCTAAAAAATTACGTGGACATAAGTACTAAGGAACAAATTTGATACAGCCTTTGATTAGCTGATAGTATTCTTTCTGAGATCTGTGCATCTCTTCAAACTACTCTGTGCTTGATCCTCAATATTGGTTTTATAGTCTGGCTTCCTTAAGAGACAAGGCGTGTGTATGATAAGTTATGTTTGTCAGACATCTCCCATTCATTTTTCTCCTCCCCCTCCAAGTAACCTTGAACCATTTGTGTAATTGCACCCAAATTTAACAAGGATTAGAGTTCTCAAAGTTAATCTGTTGCTACATGCCTGATGAAAATAGGCAACTGAGTGGAGAAAAGAAACCTAAATGAGTGTCTTCAGTGAGAGACAGGCTGCCTCTTTAGCTTAACTGTATTTTTAGCTCAGAGAAAAAGAGCATGAACACAATAAAAAACTAGGCTACATGGATTCTACAAGTGTTTCCTTAGAACTGTTTCCCTTTTGTAGCAAAGTAAGGTCCCCAGGCTTTTTATTTTGATCTTGCTCTCCAAATTTGAATCAGTTCTGCAATTTTAAATATTAACTTAGGCCCTTCCCAAACTCAGTAGGAAACTCTTCTTCAATTTCCCCATGTTTATAGGAAGAAGGACACTAGTTGAGGAAAAATTATACCACTAGACTAAACTTCCTCAGATTTCTCGGTTAACCGTACAATGAGACTGAATGCATATGTGATAAAAAGGAGTTGGCCTAAAATGGTATCAGCAGTAATTTATGTGTGCTTCTGAAGTTCTCAGTTCTAATGAATCAGGGCTGCCTCTCGGTCAGAGGAAATAGAAATAGCCACATGGCTTTGGTGTTTGAAGGGTGGGGCAGTAAACAGAGCTGAGAATGAGCTGTGGAGGTTGCTGTCTGTTAAAAACACCTAGAGATTGATGGTTACAGTCAGTTTAGGGATGTTACCAGTTCTACGTAGAAGGTGCCTTTTTATGAATGTATATTATGAATGTATGTAAGTTACGAATATACAAAGACTCTGACACTGTGATACAACACAAGTTTATACACCGGTGTTTGCTACTAGCATCCACTGAGGCAATATTTACCACTTCAAGGTTGTTCCTTGGTCTATACTCTGCCCGTTTAGGTAAAAGCTTTCACAGAAACCCACTGTGTTTCTCCAAGGTATCCTTTACTCCCTCTGCAGTGGCTTCTTCCCTAAAATCTTTACATGGTTCTTTCCATCATCTGCTGTAAGAAGGCTTGGATCCATGCCGTGTGCAGCAGGAAGAAGTTCCTGAGGCTTGTGTTTTCTACTACTTCTGGCCCTACCTGTATTTTCAATAGAGAATCTGGCCCATTATTACTCATTTAGCAAATTGATAAAAATAGAGGGGAAATTATTCTAAACTATCACTTTGTTGTTTTAACAGCCACAAGAAATTTGTGGATTTATTTTCATGAAGATAAAATACTGTCAATAAGGGAATAAACTGTAGTAACCCTCTATGCACTAAAGAGGATTAGGTGGAGCTATTTCAAAAGCTTAATCGGTTGATTCAGCTGTTAGTGGTAGGAGGAGAAATTATGAAGATCAAAAATGTTTTTCTTGTGATGCAATATAAGAAACTTCAGAAAAAATCTTGAAGGGAAGTATCTTCAAGATGCACTACTTGAATACTGGAAATAATGGTGCTGGTGTCATTAAGCACAGTGCTGGATTTTTACCAGGTTACTTCTTGGTTTCTTTTGAATAACCATGCCAGAGACCAGTACAGAAAAATGTACAAGGCTTAAAGCCAGATTATTGCTAGTGAATAAACAAAGGAATTAATGTTTAATCTTTGTAAAGATTAGTTGACCTCTGAAATGCTTCTGGGATGTTTTAAGTTATTGTAAGGCACTGCTATCCACTAAGGTAAGAGATGGTTATTTGGTAGCCTTCTATGATGGAGTTACAGCATTGGTGGATAAGGGAAGAGCACCTGACATCATCTGCCTGGACTTGTGCAAAGCAGTTGACACTATCCTGCACAACATTGTTGTCTCTAAATCAGAGAGACATGGATTTGATGGATGGACCATTCGGAGGGTAAGGAATTGGCTGGGTGGTTTCACTCAAAGAAGTGCGGTCAATGGCTCGATGTTCAAGTGGAGACTGGTGACGAGTGGTGTTCCTTAGGGGCCGGTATTGGTACTGGCGCTGTTTATGACATTGGCAGTGGGATTGAGTGCACCCTCAGCAAGTTTGCCGATGACACCAACCTGTTTGGTGTGATCGACACGGTGGAGGGAAGGGATGCCTTGATGCCTTCCAGAGGGACCTCGACAGCCTTTAGAGGTGGGCCTGTGCAAACCTCATGAAGTTCAACAAGGCCACGTGCAAGATTCTGCACATGGGTTGGGGTAATCCCAAGCA